GCCTGCTTGTCAAACCGAGCCTCCTCCTCCGCTTACTGTCCCCTCCCAGCGGGTCTCCCTCCCTTCGCCACTGCAGTGAAAGCCTCGGTGTACAGAGAGAGAGAGAGACGGCGAAGAGTGCCTGAAGCTGGGTATAAAGCCAGGACGAGACCTCCGAGAGCACCACGACCATATTTTCTTTTTTTGTATTTCTCGCCACAACTCGGCGGCCTACCTACTCCCACCCCTGTTGTACCTCTTTTCCGTTCACATCGCCTGGATTTCATCATCCGACCTGCAAGATGGTAAGCAGCGAAGCTCCTACTTTCACCCTCCGCCGACTGGTAAACACACCAGTGGGCAGGCCCGGGCTTTAATGTGTCGAGAAATGTGGCGTTTTGACAGGTTGTTTTGTTTTTTGTTCGGGCTGAGCGCTTTGCTTTGAGTTCACGGTCGACCACGTAGAGCTCCGGCGAGAAGGAAACGCTTTTCTCACCCACTTTTGGCTCCCTGTCGCGCTCTCTGTGCAATACCCCGGGGCTGACAGTAGCCTAAAGCCCGTGGCCCAGATAGTTCTTATCCCTTCTCGGCACAGCCTTCACTCTTCTTATTAGCAACGAGGCCTGTGCAAATTAGTTCTCGTGACAAAAATACACGCGTATTAGGCCCTAGTTTGGCGACTAAGTGTGACACATTTTACACACGAGGCAGGGAAAAGTTTTTGGACTCACACTCGCTCTGTGTTCAACATGCAACGAAATGTATCCCAGTGTGTTTTTCTAGGTAGCATGGCGCTGTGTTGATAGTTGCAACATTGTTTCTTTTTGAGCTCCTAAGCTTTAACGAACAGTCTGAGGCTCCAGTTGTCTATTATACTATACAGCCGATACAGAGGAGGCTGCCGTTGCAGGCCACAGGATTGACTCATGCTGTCCTAATTAATTGGTCAGTTGACTTTATGTATATTTATATATATATATATATTTGTATGTGTGTGAGGTTGAGTTGCCTAGTAACCGTTAAGCATCCCTGTAGTGGCCAATAGGAGTGTACCTGACCGGGCAGCAGGCCTGGATCCATATTCAACTTACATGTTGTCAGGAACCAATGGCCAGGGCGAAGGAAGGGGTTGTGGGTCCTGTGCACAGGATTTGAGCTCCTTGTCCCTCCCTCCACTGTCCTCTCATACCCACAATCCCTTTTCATCAAACACGCCTCCACCTATCAGTTTTCTGGTCAGTTATTGATGTCCCGATAGCACAACATTGGCAGTGCTAGTAGTAGTACTGCCATTTGTTCACTTGCATGATTAGGATGTTAACAGGGAGGACTGCTTTACTGTTGTGGTGTTTTCTGGACAGAGGGTATGTCTTTAATACGCTTTATTAGTTGGGGTGTTATGGATTTTGCTTGCTCAGTCCTGTTATTATTTACCAGTAGATTCAAAGGTCTGTAAATATTGACTCAAGCCAATGATCTGTCATTAGATGTAAAAACTAGAGTTCAGACCGATAAGTCAGACAGGCAGATATAAAGGCTGATATTAGCTTGTTATAGATATCAGTTTATGTGGATTTGTTTGAAGTCATTTAGAAACTGTGTAGTCTGTCCACCAAGAGTATTAGAGCAAGATTATTTTTCATCTGTGAGATATTCTGCTGAGTAAATTAGAATATAGTTGAAGCACAAATGTCAAAGTCAGCTATATTTTCAGAAAATCTTTTAAAGGTCCAGTGTGTAACATTTAGGAGGAAAATAGAATATATTATACACAGGTATATGTTCATTAGTGTCTAATCGTTGTGTTTTCATTACCTTAGAATGAGCTTTCGTTTTTATCTAGACGCCGTGGGTCGCCTTGTATGGAGTCCGCCATGTTTCTACAGTAGCCTAGAACCAACAAAGCAAAGAGTTTCATGAGTTTCTCTTACACAATTCACAAGCCGTTGTCATTCCCAGGTTGTCAAATGTAGAGGCGAGGGGTGTTCAGTTAGTGGCAATCTGCAAATTCACTGCCACTAAATTCTACACACTGGTCCTTTCTAAAAGAGTCACCTGGACGCATTAGCTGAGCTCAAATCTGGAGCACTGACTGACAGATCACTGCTTCACCACCAGATAACAAAGCAAACCGTCTTCATGGAAACGGCACCTGGTTGGAACCGTGCTACACAGCTGTCAGGAGCTTATGCATTGTTATTCAAAGTGACTGCCCCCTGCGGTTATAAACTGCATACTATGGTGCCTCTGTAACATGTCAACCCACACACAATGGCCAAAAATTAGGAGCTCCTGTCCAGGACACGACAGTAAAATAAAAAACACATCAAGCAGAGAAAGGTAAGCTAAAAATGCTAAAAAAAACACCTTGTTACATTTGCCCTGCAGCAGAACTCTCAGCCAGAGGGTAGAAACTCGGGGCATGCATGTCGTACAGACAGTGTGCCAACGTCTGGACTGTCAAAATGTATTGTTCTCAGCTGCAGGGGGAGGTTGGGGGCAGGGACACACACTTGCTTAAGCGTATAGTGGAATGATCTGACGCTAAGGGGACCATATGCTGCCTAGCAATCAAGCGCCACCCACATAAGGATGGAGCCGTAGATAATGCAGAAGAGATAAAAGCCACAGCGAAGCACCAGCAGAAGTGATGATCCACGCTACGTGATCCACACTGCACTTCCAACCAGCCCACTCAATCGGGATTTATTTCCCTCACTGGTCGTTCATCAGTCACCGGCACAGTCCCGTCAGTGGTGTCAGAAAACATCCATCCGTCCGGTACCTCAGCGTCTGTGAATAGAGAAGTTTGAAGGAACATTCAAATGGCATGTTGAGCATAGCTTGCCTCTTTAATGACTGATGGAACAGGCTGTTTATGGGATATAATGCTTGAGATACTGTATAGTAGTGGTCAAAAGTTGAAAAGATCAAAATAGATGTGTACATGCGACATAAACTAGCCACTGACACAGGTGCAGAAGGAGGTGAGGGTGGTTTAATGAACTGGTTTATGTTTTTTTTTGGTACACTTTTGGTTTGGGTAAATATAATAAAAACATCATCTGTAGATGAGAAGCAGAGTCTATGGCCGCTTGATGTTTTTTGGCTCATTGAAATCACCAAAATAAGCGTCTTTCTTTTTTTGGCTTCCTCAGCATTCAAGGCATCACATGTGCAGCATATAATGAACGTCTAAAAACACATCAGTGGTAACAATGGAAGCAACAATATGGAGCTTGATTCGCTGATAGGATTTGCCTCAATAATCTGCCGCAGCGATCCGTAGTAGAGCATGAAGCATTCATGTAATCGACTGGTTGACTGTGGCCAGTAGGAAAAAGTTTGCCAAACCCTAACACCCACCATCAAGTAACAAGCCAAATATTCCCACTTCCAGAAAGTAAAAGTAAAGACATTTTTATATAAAATATGATGAAACATAACAATTGAAAAGGTTTTATGAAGTAACTTTAACATGAACAACTTAATTTGACAGCTCGAAAGTAAAAGACAACTCCATACAACACATTCACCTACAGCTGCAACATTTTGCATGAATCCACATGGTAATGGTCTCATTTTGTTGCTTTCTGTAGACAGCGGAATGATCCTTTCTTCACCACAACTTTCATTTTCACTGAAAAAACTGAGTCATAATGATTCATCTTTGGTTTTGGGGTCTCTATCAAGCAAACATGTTTTCTTACATCTCAAGAACAAGATTTGTAGGCCAGGGCATCTCTGCGGCACTACAGTACTTCATTATAAATACACATTTTATATTTATCATCACAGCTTTTGTGATCTAGATATTGCAATAGGTTATATTTTAATTTCGATAATATTTTAATTAATTGTGCAGCCCTAGTTCTGTAGCAATATATGAGCACTGAAACTAGAAGTAAGTCAGTCAATTAGTTGATAGCGATTTTATTTATTTGCCATTTGATACAGTAAATAAATAAATACTATATACTATATATATATATAT